TTGGCCCTTGGTGAGTTGAGCAGGCCTCTCCCTCTCTTGGTTGGATACCCTTTACACAATTTTGGTTCCATATTAGTTACCACATGAGAGACCTATGAGGGTTTTTATCATGATTTGCATTAGACAAGCTAGGAGGTCTGTGACAGCTCAGGAGGTGTGTCCTTCCACATCTCAGATTTCCACAGTGAATTTGTGTTTTCTCAACTTTAGTCACCCATGTAACCCTTGACAAATGTTGCCGTACCTTGGCATCAGTCATGGTTGTATTTATTTAAAAGTTTTACTTAACTTCACACTTTGAAAACCTTAAATACTGAATGGAGCTTCATCCTAAGCAGTAATAGCCATGAATCGTAGTCGATGTAGCGGATTTATGGGAGCAGGGGCCCTGGAGCCAGATTGCTGGCATCTAAATCCTGGCTTTGCTCAACGCTTGCTAGCTGGCTAAACTGTTAGGTTGCTTATTCTCACTTAATCGTGATTTCCACATCTGTAAAATGAGGATAGCAATAGTAACTACCTCACCAGGTTATTGTGAGGATTAACTGAGATGGTAAAAACATAATGTTACCAATGGCCATACCATGCTGCCTCATATTTCCAATTTTCATCAATTTTGTGGCTTATTTATTCACAAAGGTCCATGAGAGAAGAAAGATGATGGCTATTCTCTGGCAGTTGGCAATGAGGACAGAAAGTTTTCTTGTGAATATTTCGCTACCATGTTTTTTGGTCCCTATATATGCTTCAGTCAGTAATCCTTTGTTGGCTGCTCTGTTTACAAGGCCCTACCTCAGGCAGTGTGGAGAGTGTCATGATTCCAGACGCAGCTATTGTGCCATGGGTTCTCACAGTCTGGGGAGAGAGATCAGCCCATGTGAGAGAAAGAAGCTGAAAATTCTGGAGACAGAGTGCCCAGCCCCACCACCACTAACTTGCTGTGTGGCCAGAGCTAATTAGCTGACCTCTCTGTGCCTCAGGTGCCACATCTGTAGGATGGGGATCATGATGGTACCTGCTGTACCATGTTGTGAAATTTACATGAAGGAATACAAGTAAGGCCCATGGTGAGGGCTCAGATAACTTTAGCTGATGCTAGAGTTAAGGGGTCAGGACTGACTGAGGTCATTCTGCACAGGGGCCTGCACTGTGACTGAGGACGCTGGACATGGAGTGTCGCCCCTGCCCCTGAGTGGATATGAGAGTCTGTGGAGTGGCACAGAGCTGTGCTTGCTCATGCTGGTGACACCATGTGGGTACTCACTGTGCACCAGGGCCTGGCTAATCGATCTTATAGCCGTCCCCTGAGGAGGGGGCCGTCACTCTCTTTAGTTCCTAATGGAAGAAATGGAGGCTCAGAGAGGTTCAGTGACTTTCCTAAGGTTACATAGGTCAGTGGAAGAGGGCCAGGATTCAAACCTTTGAAGAGACTTTGTTCTTAGCAGCCCGTGGTAGAAGCAGATTTGGCTTTTTTTTTTGCAGGGTAGTGGGGTTTCCCTTACACCTCGCAGAATGAGTCAAATTTTGGTAAATGCTAAGCAGGCCGTGCACAGAACTTCAGTTCAGGGAGGTAGCATGAGCAGCCCTAGGAGTGATCAAGTGTAAAGCTTGTCTTAGGGAACACCAACCCAAACAGGGTGGCCAGGAGAACGAATGCATATGGGGTGCTGACCTTGAGAGGGAGCTGGAGGGGGAGCCTGAAGAGAACTCTGTACTGGGTGGGAAATAAAGTTTAAACGTTAGGTTGGGGTCCAATTTATGGAAGGAGTTAGAATGTCTGCATTTGGGATCATGGAAAACTGTAAGAGTTTTGTGCCAGGGGAGTGCCTTAATGAAAGCAGTGTTTTAGGATGTGTTTATAGGAAGGGAATCTCTAGGCTGGCTCTTGGTTCAGTTCATTGCAGTTACTGGGCATGCAGAACAAGGTACAGATCCGGAGGGCTTACTTGGAGGCCACAGCTGGCTGTCAGCTGGATTGGGAGTCCCCTTGAATTTGAATGTAAAGTTCCGTGTGTATGGTGGCATTAGAATAATGTGTGCACTTTTCATCAGAAAAAGTGGGACACAATGCCCCTAACCACCCCCTCCCACCCAAAATAATAATAATAAGAAATAATAAATAATGATAATAATCGGAAAGACCAAGGAATTGAGTAATGGAAGCAGTCTCTGGATTTGCAGCATATGCATCTGGTTTTAGGGCACTTCTCCTTTCCTGCTCATAGCAAGAGCTTTGGCCCTGAATTCTCACTACACGACACTGACAAGCCTTGTTGTCCCTGAGCCTTAGTTTCCTGAACTATAAACAACTATTACTCTTACTTCTACTATTTGCTAAAATAAAGATAATCATCTCACGGAATTCTTATGAAGTCAGAATAAAGTATGGAAAGATACTCTATTAACTTTAATTGTGTATAAACATAAGGGGTGATTTATGTAATTGTTTTGTTTTTTTATTGAAGTATAGTTGAATTATAATGTTGTGTTAATTTCTGCTGTGCAGCAAAGTGACTCAGTTATACATATATATACATTCTTTTTCATATTCTTTTCCATTATGGTTTATCATAGGATATTGAATATAGTTCCCTGTGCTATACAGTAGGACCTTGTTGTTTATCCATTTTATATATACTAGCTTGCATCTGCTAATCCCAAACTCCCAATCCATCCCTCTCCTACTCCACCTTCCCCCTTGGCAACCACTGGTCTTTTTTTTTTAATATTTAATTTTATTTATTTTTGGCTGAGTTGGGTTTTCGTTGCTGCTCTCGGGCTTTCTCCAGTTGCCGCGAGCGGGGGCTACTCTTCGTTGCGGTGCACGGGCTTCTCACTGCAGTGGATTTTCTTGTTGCGGAGCATGGGCTCTAGGCATGCGGGCTTCAGTAGTTGTGGCACGCGGGCTCTAGAGCGCAGGCTCAGTAGTTGTGGTGCACGGGCTTAGTTGCTCCACAGCATATGGGATCTTCCTGGACCAGGGATCAAACCTGTGTCCCCTGCACTGGCAGGCAGATTCTCAACCACTGTGCCACCAGGGAAGTCCCACCAGTCTATTCTGTATGTCCCTGATTCTGTTTCTGTTTCATAGATAAGTTCATTTGTGTCATATTTTAGATTCCACATATAAGTGATATCATATGGTATTTGTCTCTCTGACTTACTTCACTTAGGATGATAATCTCTAGTTGCGTTGTAATTATTTGTGATAGGGGTTTTACTCATTTCTTTTGAAAAACACTTTTTATCATGAAAATATTCAAATATACACAACAATGGCAAGAGTACTGGAACAGACTCCCATAAAAACCATCATCCAGCTTCAGCATTTATCACTATTTTACCAAATTGTTTCATCTATCTTCTTTCCTTGCTCCCTCCCTCCCTTCTTTCCTCCCTCCCTTCTTTCCTCCGTCCTCTCTTCCTCCCCTCCGCACTCACGCTCCTCTTCTTGCTGTGCTAATTTAAAAGAAACTCAAGACAACTTGTGTTTTCATCCCTGTATCTTTATGTGTATGCACTTTCTAAAAAACACAGACTTTTCTCCTACATAACCACAGTGCCATCCAGGCTCCTGAATGGTAATAATAATCCCTTGGTGCCATCACCCAGTCGCTTGTATTCTGAATTCCCTGATTGCCTCAAAAATGACTTTTTACAGTTGTTTCTTTTAGGATATAAGTTTTTCTGTGTCTACGCCGATAAAATAAAAGGAAAATTTGAGGGGGTGGGCATTTGCATATCTAATCCCAGCCTTAGAAAGCAGAGGAGGAAATTAAAGACAGCCCTGGATATATACTACTGCTGGTGGTTGTATGTGGCAATAAAAGTGATTCAGTGTTTGCATTCACTGCCCTGTCTCAGGACACCATGGACCCTTTGGGTTTGTTCCAAATCATTTGCAGACTAAATCCCAGTCCAGACACTGGGACAGTGCATCCCTTTGCTGTAACCAGGCATTAAGGGTAAAATTGCATGATTTTCCTTTAAATTCTGCCTGAGATATTAGGCCATTATGAGCAGCAAGCTTGTAGAACCACCGCTGTTCGTGGCTTCATGTGGTGAAGCATGAACCAGGCGTCTCGCTAAGGATGTCTTTACCTTAGGCAGCCTGGGCTCAAGCCTCAAGGGCTGCTCCCTGCAGCCACATTCTCTGCGGGCATCCTTCAGAGGGAAACCTTACATGACATTCTTGAGCCTTGCTAGGACTGGGAAAAGCTATTTGCTTTTTAATTAATTAATTTATTTATTTTTTTGGCTGCATTGGGTCTTCGTTGCTGTGTGTGGGCTTTCTCTAGTTGCGGCGAGCAAGGGCTACTCTTCGTTGCAGTGTGTGGGCTTCTCATTGCGGTGGCTTCTCTTGTTGCGGAGCACGGGCTGTAGGCGCGCAGGCATCAGTAGTTGTGGCACATGGGCTCAGTACTTGTGGCTCGCCGGCTCTAGAGTGCAGGCTCAGTCGTCGTGGCGCAGGGGCTTATTTTCTCCGCGGCATGTGGGATCTTCCTGGACCAGGGCTCGAACCCGTGACCCCTGCACTGGCAGGCAGATTCTTAACCACCGTGCCACCAGGGAAGCCCAAGCTATTTGCTTTTAGTCTACTCGATGGTAAAAGAAATGCAATGTGCTGATTCCTGTCAACTTTCAGAGTTTTCAAGTTCTAGCTCAATCCCCATCTCTTGGAGGAAGCCACAGTACTCTCATCTTCTGAGCTCTTACTGCTCTTGAAATGGGACCGATTCATTGGATCCCTAGCACACATTGCTTCCATTGCAAGTCAGTCTTAAATGTAGGGAAGCATGAATGGTGTATGTATGTGTGTGTGTGTGTGTCCATGGGTGAATGTAATATGTATGTATATGTGTGTGTATTTTGTGACTTCTCAGTTACGTTGTAATCTGGCACTTGACACACTTCTTAGTATTCCCCATGCAGTACCCCAGAGCAGTGCTGTGTATGTAGCAGGCATTCAGTGAGGACTTGTTGATTGGTTGAAAGTGAATATAGAAGAAGGGTGGATGGCCTTGACTAAGGCCACTGAGCCTGGGGACTTTTACTAGCTGAGCTTGTCCAGTGTTGGCTCCATTCTCTTATTTTCCTCCCAGCCCATCTGGCAGTCCTGAGTGACAGACTCTGAGGTAGCAAAGATCTTCCCAGAAAGGCTCTAGCACTTACCTGGTGGTCTTCCATGGGGGTGGAGAAACAGATCAGCAACGTGCTCTCCTCTGTGTCTGAAGCACTGTGTGTGGAGCTGCCCTGGAAGTCTGAATTGCAAAGGCTCTTCTCTACTGTTTCTCTCTCCTTCCTCATAGTTATCATCCTTTTCCTCCCTATCATTAGTGTGTGTATGTGTCTGTGTGTGTGTATAATTTTTAAATTCATTGTCCATGTACTATAAATGAGGGCCAAAGAAAGACATAAGCAAGTCATGGAGAGAAAGAAAATACATGAGTTAAAGTCACATATATTCTGGAACAAGACAAATGCCACAGGTGAGTAACAAAGCAATAATATGGGCGTTCAAAGAAGGTAGATGTCACTTTCAATACAAATCTGGAAGCATCCTTGAAGAAGTGGACTTAAAGATGACTCAGGTGTGCGTGGGAGTTCTTATTTGCCTTCCCCAAAGAAACACTCAAGAACAAAAGTAACACATTATCATTGTAATTTACATGGAGATTATGAAGAAAGCAAAACTAAAACAAATTAAACTGAACTATAACCTTGTCTAACATCCAAGGATGATAATGAAAACTACTTTTTCAGTTTCTTATCCTATAATTTCTTTTACAAGTACTATATTCCACATACTGTAGATAGTGTGCAGAGTCCTGCTCTTTGTATAATTTGAATTCATGCTAGATTATCTTGGCACTCAAAGGTACAAGTTTAATTTCTAGGACACCAAAAATTCACAGACAGTAACTATACCCACCACTTAGCTCAATAGCTGATGGCGTGCAGGGGAAAAGGCTTTGTAGCCTGGTTTCCCAAGCCCTGGGCAGCAATTACATAAATGTTGATGCAAATGAATATGAAGAAGGCATACAGACAATGAACTTAAGATGTTTGTACACCTTTTAAGAACCTATTCTTTTTTTTTTTGCCTTGTACACTTTTTTTAACGATTTTATTGGAGTATAATTGCTTTACAATGGTGTGTCAGTTTCTGCTTTATGACGAAGCGAATCAGTTATACATATACATATATCCCCATATCTCCTCCCTCTCGCATCTCCCTCCCTCCCACCTTCCCTATCCCACCCCTCCAGGCGGTCACAAAGCACCGAGCTGATCTCCCTGTGCTATGCGGCTGTTTCCCACTAGCTATCTATCTTACGTTTGGTAGTGTATATATGTCCATGCCTCTGTCTCGCTTTGTCACAGCTTACCCTTCCCCCTCCCCATATCCTCAAGTCCATTCTCTAGTAGGTCTGCTTCTTTAGTCCCGTAATAACCTATTCTTGAGGAATTGACTTCATATGTACTTCAGTAGATGGATACAGATCCATAATCAAATATATGTATATAGGTATAGTTTATACAAAGGTGTATACATATATATACAAACAGATATATATGTGTGCGTGTATATATATACATATGTGTGTGTGTATATATATACACACACATACATATATATATATATATATATATACATATATATATACCTTTGTGTAGACTATACCTATATAAACTTATATACTATATGGCTCTGGATTCTACACACACACTCACACGCACAAGTTCAATTCCTTCTAACACTGGTATCCTTTAGGTACCACTTCTGTGTGGAGTCACACTGAGGTTAAGTCTGAAGGGGCAATTATTCAAATTAATGCACCGAGGAGTCCAATTATATTAAATTATTTAAAACCAAGCATAAGTGCTTTGCATAATGAGTGAATATATGAATACTTAGGCATTGGAGTGAGGGGATAATTCACACTCAGAACACAGCGGACGAGCAACTGATGTATGTTTAGTTAAGCTGACGCTGATGCAGAGGGGAGAGCGTAGAGTCCAAGTCCGCTCCTCCCGCAGCTCTTCTTTCGTTATCTTTTCCGCAGAGAGTGGTTTCTTGCTTTTAGAACAAAATAAGATGCTCTCGGAACTTTTGTTAGCGAAGAAAATACTTTTAGGACTTTAGAATCTTTTAGAACTTTTGTAAAACCCCGTTTTGTCAGCTGATGAGGGAGGCGCTTGAATGTCGAACAGTTACCAGAGGCGAGGGCCCGGGCTGGGTGGCACAGCTCACAGGCTTCGGGTCCCCGAGCTGTCCCACTGGAGGCAGCTCGCTGCCTAGGGCAGGGCTTGAGGGGCAGGTCTGACTTCCTTGCCCTGACGCCCGGGGTGCCCTTCTTCTTCAGCACCCACTCAGGGCTCTTCCTCGCCACCCCCGCCTCACAGTCCTGCACGGGACCCTGTGCAGGAGACACAGCTGGGGGCTGAGGGCTGGAGCGGCCTGGCTGGCGCCCAGGTCAGTCCAGGCAGGGAAAAGGGTGAGCTTCCCCCCAGCTTAGGCGGCCTCAGATGCCCTTTTACGGCAGCCTCCGTGCCTGGACCCCGTTCCTGGTGACATCCACTGGGACCAAGCAGCTGTGTCTAGGAGGGCAGGAGGTGAGACGCCCCCTCACTGGCGGGTGTCTGCACAGTAGGTGATCACTTGTTGCGGGTGCATACGTCCTTGCCTGGGGACAACCTAGGCCAGGATCAGCCCACGAGAGCCTGGCAGTGTCCTGGGAAAGAGAGCCAGAGGCCCCGTGCCCAGTGCTGCCACGTAAGGCCCAGCCTGGTGTAGACCAAGTAGGGGCTCCCAGCAACTACAGATGTCTGAGGTAGGAAAACAAGGCTGCCCAGCTCACGGCAGCCCCGACAGGGATCCCCCAGGGCTGACCTGCGCTTCCAGCCCAAGGGCTGAGGAGAAGAGGTCCCCCTGCCCACCCACCCCCCGCCCCGCCACACAGCCCCATGGGAGAGAGGCCGTCTCCTGCTGGAGTTTCTAAGTGTTTGGTAAAGTAGTGGAGAGAGTGGCAGCCCTAAACCCTCATTTTCTGGAATTCTTTGACATGCCAGCCTGAAAGCATTGCTAACATAGTAGGTTTTGCATTATAGCGGAGGTGGGAGGGTGAGTTGCAACCTTTGAAATATGTCTAAAGAACAAAACAAACTAAAACAACAATTTCAAACAAAGTTCCACCGACCTGAGAAAGGTGGAAGTTAGGCAAGAGTTATACAGAGTGGAACGTACGCCGTGAGGATTCCTCACACGTTCAAAGTTTTGAGACTACCAAATGCATTCATGAATAGTCTCTTGAGGAATTTCTGACGCCTGAGGCTTTTCTTCCTTTTCGTGGTACTGTTACGAAGAGATGGGGTGTGTGGAATTTGTTGGTAGTGGAGGATGACTTAGTTCAGGCAGGATTCTTACCTGTGGTAAGGTGAAATACTTATGCTCTTCCAGTGATGACTAGTTTGTGAGTCAAAGGATCAGGAGTGATTATTTGAGACTATAGAAAAGCCTAAGTTACATCAAAGGAGTATTTGGTGGTGGGGGGGAGAAGAAATAAAGAAAGAAAGAGAGAAAAAGAAGAATCAGGATGGGTTCACTAGCTTTGCTGCAGAGAGCGTGTGTGAGGGCAGTGATGGACACGGGCTGCAGAGCTGGTGGTGGGGTCTGGAAAGCAGTGCTGGCGGCCCAAGGCCACGGGCTGGGCTCACGGTCAGGTCTGGCCAGGGCTCGGGAGGCCCAGGCCTCTGCTTTCTCAAGCAGGCAAAACAATCTCAGAGGAAAAGAAAAACTGAAGTTTTGGTGGCTTGCTTCTCCTGGGTTTACGTAGTGGTCTCTTAACGGAGTTCTGAAGGGAAAAAGAGCAACAAGAAACAAATGAAGAAAACGGGAGGATGTTTTCATCTGTTTCCAAACTCTACAGCATGAGTGTCCCAAAGAAACATTTACTGGAC